CTCTCTTTGTCTTCGAGCTTTGGCAGTTTGACTATGATGTGTTTTGGAGAGGATCTTTTTGGGTTGAATCTGTTTGGAGATCTTTGAGCCTCCTGGATCTGAAGGTCCACGTCTTTCCCTATGCCTGGGAAGTTTTCTGTTATATTTTGGTGAATAGGTTTTTCATGCCTTTTCCTTTCTCCTCTCCTCCTGCAACATCCATGATTCGAATGTTTGAGCACTTAAGGTCGTCTGCTATTTCTCATAGATTTTCTTCATTTCTTAAAATTCTTTTTTCCTTTTTTTTGTCTACTTGGTTTATTTCAAAAAGCTTACCTTCAAGATCATAAACTCTTCTGCTTGTTCTAGCCTGCTGCTTAAGCTATCAGTTGTGTTTTTTATTTCATTGAGTGAATCTTCCAGTTCTGTGAGTTCTGCTACATTCTTTTTTAAGGTTTTGATCTCTTTGTAAATTTCCTCCTTCATATCCTGGATTTTTTTTTTTCTCATTTCATTATGTTCTCTAACTGAGTCTTCTCATATCTCAGTGAGTTTCCTTAAGACTGTTTCTTGGAATTCCTTTCCAGTCATTTCAAAGGTTTCCTGCTCTTTAGGGTCTGGTATTTGAGAATTACTGTATTTTTTTGGTGGTGTCATATTTTCTTGGGTTTTTGTATTTCTAGTATCTCTATGTTGATGTCCGGTCATCTGGTAGAGCAGTTGCTTCTTCTGTTACTCTGGAGTGGCTTTTGAGGAGAGAAATGTTCTGTTCTTTTTCTGGTCTCAGCTGGTGACTCTCCTTGTGTCAATGTAGTTGAGTGTCTCATGGGACACCTGCATGGTGGCTGTGGCTACTGCTGTGGTAATGAGCCACTTTGTGGTGGCCGTGGCTGTGGCAGTGGCTATTGGTGGGCCACCTGTGAAAAAGTGGTATTTTCTGCATTCTCTCTTGCCTGCTTCTGGGTGGAGGGGATGGCTCCTTGGCTCTTGCCTAGGACCCTGGGCTTTGCTGTCTTGCCTGCTTCCAGGCAGAGGGGTCAGCTGCCCTCCTCATTTTTTTTTTTTATTGTGATGAAACACATATGATTGCCATTTTAAGCATTTTAAAAAATACAAGAAAACATATTATTAAAATTAATTTCACATGCTTTTTACTTTTTAAATGTAGTTACTAGGAAATTTAAAATTACATATAGGGCTTGCATTATATTTCTATTGGAGAGTGCTGTTTTAGAAGTCTGAGGGTGACCTTCAGCAATCCTGAGGTGGGTGAGTGGCCAAGATGGTTTTGTTTAACACACCAGCATCCCTTGGGGAGCTGAAGAAATAGGTTGGTCAGGAAACCTTGCTGTGGCTTGGAGCATATTAACTGGGAGTTTAAGGGAATAGTGATCTCAAAGGGCTGGACCCATGGGTTAAGCCTGGGAGTAAGAGAACCAATGATTTTCATTTTTGCAGTGGCCCCTTAAAATAGTTGCACCAAGATGTCAGGACAGAAGCCCAAGATAGGGCTGAGAAGGACCCCAGGTATATCCCAAAGAGCTTGTAAGCAGCTTCTAGGCTCAGCAACCAACCAGGTGGCTCCATTTTAAGGCCTCAGGAGTTTGTTCACAAAGACCCTGTTAGATCATTGGCTGTATTGTATGGATTCTATAGCATGGGTCAAACCACAAATACCTACATATAATAATTTCTTTTTTTTTTTTTT